GTTAAAATGAGGTCATTATTGTAATCAGACAAAATGGATCTAGGACAATACAGTTCTTGTCTTATCATGGGGATATAATGTTTTTGGGGACATAAAGAATTATTTTAGACTCCAACTTGACTTGAGAAATCTGTAGCATTATTTCTAACGTCAAAAAATAAAAATAACTGAACACCACTGACCAATTCAAGGAATTATGCAGAACAAAAAACACTATGATAGGAAATCAATCACAAAATGGGCAGTTGCACCCTCACCCCTTTAGGTTTTAATAAACAAATTTCCATTAATGTCTGCCAGGAGAGAAAATGTTAGACTGTGATTTCTGGAGATGAGTGATCCACCCATGCAGGTTACAGGCACTCAAAGTGCCTCAAGAGAGGAAACACACAAATGATGTAAAATATGTAAACAAAGGTTTAGACTACAATTTGTAAAAATGTATTTGAAACATTTTGAGAAAGGTTCAAGGTAAAAAATGACCTCATTTACACAGCTTTTTTTCCATATTATAAAATGACCGAACAACTCAATTTGTAATCTTTAAAATGATATCCGTGTTTATCAGTAATAGGGATATGGATGTCCTATTGTAAAGTTGGGTTTCCTAAATGGGTCCCCTATGAACCCCTCTGTCTCTTGAATGATTGGTCATGCAGAAATCCATCCCCAAATCACAACCTAAACATGTCTCCCACTGAGAAAACAAGATCAATGGAGCTCAAAATCAGAAAATAAAATCAAGACCAACAGGCTGCTGATTTAATCAAAACGGAAGGGAATGACGCGACTTCATAGAGATATAGAAAACCCTTTGTTAACAATTAATAGTTCAAAGACTTCTCTTGACAATCAGCAAACAAGGTGAAGAGACATGTAAACTGATGAAAAATTCTGGTCAACACAAATGTTTATATAAGTAGAGAATGAAAAACAGTCACCATCAACTACAAAAATATGTCAGGTTGAAGAAATGTTTATTTTTTTGGAGGTTTCTTAAACTACGTCTACATCCGTCCGTGAGTTCAGACTTTATATTATTATTATTATCTGGTCCTGTCTGCGTACCTTTGAAAGAGACTTCAGAGCCCGGACTGCATCCCTGCGGTCCTCCAGCAAAGTGGATGAAGCTACTCTGTCACACAGTTTTTGAATCTGGCATTTGAAGGGGAAAAAAAAGACAGAAATCAGTATTTTTCAAATCAATGCACAGCATTCCTCATTCATATGAAACATGAACATGCCCTGCACAAAGAACAACACACAATAGAGGCCATGTACTGTATATTACCTTTTACTATTTTTAAACAAGTACTAAAAGAGTCAGTAATAAGGAGAACCCTGATGCGAAACCGTTTCATACGTATAAACAACAAAGCTGGACCATACAAGGGACCTGAATCGAACTGAAATGAGATCACTAGAGTATGTCTCCTTCACAGTAAACAGAGTACGTTCAGCACCCAACTTTGGAAAAAATTAAAAAATGTCTGTTATGAATGCATGTGGACTAGAAGAATGTTGTAGCATATGATAAGAGCATACCATAGAACAAGATAAATGTCTACAGCAAATACTGGGACTTAAAGCTTAAATATATCCGTCATGATTAATGACAGTATTCTAATAATTACATCAGAACATTCAAAAAGTACTGTATAACAGACTACGAGAAGTCCTGTACCCAAACAAAGATTTCAGACGTATCTTAAGATAGTTTCTAGGGCAATGCAATGCACAATGCACTTCCAGGGGATCTTAAGACTGTTTCAAAGAGTTTTGTGCTTTGAAGGAAGACTACATCTGAAAGCCACATATGTCCTTAGCACACTGTGTATTGTGTGATCTAGACAGTTTTTGCTTTGGGATATTATGTAAACAAGACAGTCGGTCTTCACTACTTTTTAAGAGACCTTAACAGCTGAAGAATGACAAAGGTTTAAAAAAAACTGTCAATGCCTCTGTCAACAGCTGATAGCATAAAAACAGGGCACACCAGTTTTGGTAGACAAAGCTGAACTGTTAAACTGGTTGTGTGTAAAACGCATAACTTGTGTACTAAGAATTTGTAGCTCTAATCCAAATTCCTGAAGAGACGAGGACCCAAGACTTCAGTTTTCTACTTGTGCATGTTATGAGTTCAACGACCAAAGTATTTACTTATTTAGTATTGATAACCATTTCCAAGTTTTTAATCATTGACGACTCTTGGTTTTGTTGGTCTTCGTAACCAGGACTGAAGACCAGTGTGCTACGGAGACCCAGACCATCAAGATATTTTCCATTAAATAAAACTGAAACAAATGTACATTTCACTGGTGTAAAGGTTAAAATAAATCTAGGATCAAAAGACACAATCCATAGTACAAAAACAATGTAATAACCGTTGTTCACAGACATGTGAAAAAAAAAACAAGCCTGAAGTTCGATCATACTGATTAGGAAAGATATTTAAAGTGTTGCTTAACGTGTTGATAACCAACACGCCTTTTTAAATTGCCGTTTTAAAGCTAAAAGGCAGAATCCGGCAGAGGAACAGGGGACATGACATGAAAAGGAAAAGCAGAATCGTCATGCATCGGGATGATTCTGAAAATAGCCTACATCATAGCAGAGACAGCTGGCTGCTCAAATTCAGAGTTGTTTATCCTCCCAATTTTCTGCCGGATCTGATAATGGCAGTTATCATGACCCAGACGCAAGCATGGGTACGCTCCGGCCGCTTCGGCTATTATAGTACTGCATTTTTCACCCAGGTAGAAACATGCAAGGTTTCCTTTGTCAATACAGATATGCATTTGTTTTCCAGCCACAGCTCGGACCCATGACAAGCAGGAGTCCGTCAGGAAACGATTCCTTCATCACAGTTACACGCGTTATCTTGAGAGCAGCTGACAGCGACCCAATCTACCATCGACAGATCCTCACGCCTCCCAACAAAAGCCTGAGCCGTACCTCCAAGCGGAGACAGGGGGTTATAAAGAAAATGAGGATAATATGGACTGGGAAACGATCCCACTAACTGTCACTTTGTCAACGCCATCGCAGCGACCGGGACTGACCTGCGGTGACAGGTGCTGTTAGTGTTAAGACGTTTGTGGGGGGGGTCCCAATAATAATAGCACCAGCAGGCTTATTTGAGATGAAGGAGAAAGCGAATAAGCATCGGCTTTATAGCGGCAATAAATCATAATATCATAACACCCCTCATTTATAAGACACGACAGAGCGAATGGGTTGGTTTTTTTTTCAGGTTCGCTGCTCCAGGCTTGATCCCGATCCGTCCTTGGGGCTGACTAGAGCCGTCCCGGTGCAAACCAAACCACCCCCACACTCCCACAGCTAGCTCCGTCCAGCCCGGATGCATCTTAGTCCTCATCGTAACACTTTTTCCTGCCCTTTTCCCTCCTGTGTCAGGCTGGAGAAATTACGGCGAGCACGACGCCCCCCCCCCCCCCAACTCCTCCTCCTCCTCCTCCTACCCACCGAGCCGACGGACACGCTGGTATACTCTCTAAAAGACCACGGTGCCAATCCCGACAGGAGCTGGGTCAGTCTCGACTCGACTGGGGCGCCAGACCCGAGCACCCCCACCACCACCCCAGCTCCTGCCTTTCCGCGACGTGACAAGACTCACCGTCTCTGCACCCGAAGGCTGCGGCCCGGCCGGCTGCCCTCCCATCACTCCCCGCAGGAAATTCATGTCTCCCCCCACCAAGCCGAAGCGCTTTAGTGTTATGAAAATGACCGGGGCCGCGGCTGGTTTTACTGCGATCCCAAGCGTTACTCCGATCCTCGATCCCTTTCCCCCCCAGACCGATCTTGTTGTGGGACACTGACACACACAGCTACCCCGGAACAGCACTGGAACACCGCGCTGCGCAGGCGCGGAGACGTGGCGAAACGTGGCTGCTCACAGGGCCAGAGGTGATTTTTAAAGTGACAGGACCTCCTTCACCTTTCGGGGGGTCATGGCGCCCCATGGTTTTCCGGTTTCCCCGGCTGGTCTTGCGCAAGACGGAAGGCGATTTTTTAAACACGGGATTTCATTTCGGTTCGTAACTATTACAAACAAGGGTTACACTTGCTTATACAACCGAAAGCATGACTGTAGGTGGCCCTGATAAGCTTTCAAGTGGCACCAGAACAAAACCAGGATTGCAGGACTGGTTGCGAAAAAAAGAAAGCCTTTTCTGGGGTCCTCCTTAGACAAACTGAGAATCCCAAGGTTTCTGGACCAAAGAACACCTTTGTGACATTGGACGGTTATTAAATAACATTTGTAATTGTTCTTCTATACTTATTTTTTTTTGCAGGCATTTGCTTCATTTAAAAAAAAGGGGGTGTTTCATCTAACAGGTGGTCATTTCGCTATTATGACAGGGCTTTGCAAATTCCCTTGCATTGTGGTAGTTTAGAATTCAAAACAAAGGCAATAAGCAACACTTAACAGTCCAACACTTTGAAGCAATCTGTTAGTTGGTCTTAAAGGTGGTGCTTGGAAAATACCCAACATCAACAAAAGACTTGGTAATGAAAATCTTAACTTACACTGAAACACCTTGAAGAGATAGCCCAACATGCAAGTTAAACATGTGATGCATGAAGTGAGTTTGAGTGTTAATGTTTCGTCTGATATGTCAATTCATCATTTTGTAATGACATTGTTTTTTACAAGGATGGTTGAAGGTCACCAACCTTCATGTGTGCTATTGATCACACGGTGCCCCTATGTGAACAACTGTTCGCTTGTGTCCCCACCATTGGCTTGGACACCAGGAAGACAAGCATGCAAACAGATCATTGTACTTTAGCAGATATAAGAATACTAGAATGGTTACAAACAAGAAGAGACCATTCTGTCCCTCTGTCTAATTCAGTTTTTCAGTAGCTAGCTGATATGGCTAGGCAGCTTCTTGCACACTCCCACACCCCACAGCAGGAAGTGCCACCTGTTCTCTGTTTTAAAATGCACTTCCTGTGCATGTAGTTTCTATTTGTGCCTTCTGGTTCATATTTCAGTGTTGATTCTGAAGACTTTCATTCAGTAGTACTGCTTTTATCTAGGCTTTTTAAGATTTTGACGTCTTGAGTTTGGTTCTCTCATAATCTTCTTTGTTCAAGATTAAAAATAATGATTTTACCATTGCTGGTTGGAATCACAATGCAACTTCATTGCATGCAGCTTCTAACAAATATACAATATACAATTTCCAATGCACAGTAATTAAGTTTAAAAAATAAAATAAAATTATCAATCGTAATTTTTATTTCTGATGACAGTAACATCTTTTATTCTTTATTTATAATTCAGCTATTTGTATTTTTTAAGCATTTGAAAGTGGGAAGAATGCAAAGTTTTCAAACAACTCTAAAATGTTTTTTTTTTTCATGCAAGCAACTGCTAGTTTTAATAATATGTCCTCAGTGATTATTTGTTTGTATTTCAGATTATTTCCTTTAGATACACAAATTCACATCAAAGCAAAAATTTACTTGGGCATGTCACAAAACAGGTGACCACTGCAATTCAAACGACCTCACCTAGGAGAACAGATGAGATATGTTCATATTTCATATTTGACATTTACTGTACTTTTTCTGAAAATCTTCCTTCAGACATTTTTCTGAGAAATGACTATGCCCAGTTTGTTCTACTGTGAGCTCATTGTGTATACAAATTTTTCTCTTTAAACTTTTTTCTTTAACCACTTGTATTTTTTTATAAACTGTTTTATAACCATTAAAAGTACTGGTTTCTTGTCAAGACTATTTAATGAGTTAGCTACTGTATGCACACCAACACACTGAGTTAAATGCCTTTCCCCTTGAGAGCCCTAAAGTTCAAAACTTCAGCTGTTTCTTGCTGTTTTATATGCAGCTCATGTCTTGACTGGTCTTTTCTGCAGGGGTACATCTACCCCTTCCCCCTTGTTACAGATCCACAGTCCAGCCATTTCTTAGAGACACCTGAAGAAGGCTCCACGGCCAAAACGTTGTGTTCTCTTTCTTCTTTTTTTCAGCATGGAATAAACCTATTACTTATTTCTTAGAGATGCTAGTTATTTAGAATTTAGCCATCTTTGAAACATGAACAATCTTTTGATTGATCATGTTTGCCTTTGATCAGTCAAGCATTGCAGGCACAACTTATACGATGTCATACTGTTTCCTTAACTTATTCAATATTGTTAGTCTATACTATGGTGGGAGAATTGTGCTTTTTACACAGTTAATGTATACAGGTCAAAGTTTAATTTAAGTGTGCAGTTCTGTGATTCTGTATGTTATTATTTGAGCCTTTCCTAGAATACTTACAAATATCACATTACTTGTTATTGTGTTCTGTAATTGGCTTTATTTTTAAAGTCTGTCTCTTAAAAAAGCATGTGAGTAAAATTAAAACATTAATTTAATTAACTGCCATTGAACGGCCAGATTAAAATCTTTTATTTTAAAGTGTCATATTTTGTGTTTTTGCTGATAACTACTGCCCATTAGATACTGCTCTTTCCTGATGTGCTTCATGCTCTTCAGAAACTACTAACATCAAACAACACAGGTGGGTCTCACTGAGTTCATATGGATTATATATGTCCAGCCCAGAAAAAATAACTATCTGTGCCTTTTTTGTCTGTATAATTGCAACCCTCCTGTGGGACATCTTTCACTCCCCTGTTTGTCTATAGTCCCCCTGAAGTTCACTAATTGCTGACTTTCTCATGGAATCAAGGTTTAAACACAGAGACACGGAACTCTAAAGTTCAGAAAAGGGCAACATTGAATCCTTGTAAACACAGCTGATTTGATTTCTTACCGACCTAATTGGTTAATTCAAGTCATGAAAGTCTGAGATGGAATAAACACAGCAAACAACACTAGAGCGATAGGGATGCCTACCCCTGATGGAGACTGTGGCATAATGCAGGGTTACCACATTAGAAGATTCAAAAACAGGCTTCAGTCGTGGTTCAATAGAGCTGTGTTTTGGACTAGACACTGTCATGAGTTAATTATCCAGAGACTGTACTGAAACTGCAGGTCCTTTGGATGTTTCTCTGTCAGAAACGTCCTGAGAGGAGAGGGAGGAGTCTGAAGAGGAAATTCAGGAGACACAGAACTGGGGAGGGCACAGGAGGAGGCTCAAGAAAATGTAAACAGAGGAACATTAGAGAGAAAAGCTACTCAAGAGCTGACAGGAGAGACACTGGCTGACACAAGGCATGAAGTTCAGCAAGTGGCTTAAACTGAACATTGGAACCTCGGAATCAAGTTGTACAATCTATGTGTTACCGTTTTCGCTCTAATTTGCATTCAGGTCGTTTTTTAAAATCTGATTGTACCATTTTAGAATTGCAAGCAAATGATTTAATAGGAAGTAGTGACCAAGACAGGGAAAAAAAGGCACAGGCTGCAGCAATAGCAATACTACATGATGATACACAAGTAGAAGAATTCGTAGATAATAAATGTGTACAAGAATGTGTCTGGCAGATAATAAAGCTTATTATTACTTCTGCTTGTTATTTGTGTGCCTTGCTTTTGGTTTAGTTAATGTCTTATTCTAAATCTATTGTTTTCACACAGCGCTACATTATGAATTTTTTGCACTGTTTAATTTATTTATTGTTTTAAAGCGAGGGACTTCTGGATAAGGACGTCAGAGGTAAATATTAATAAATAATCGCGTAGTATCGGAGGGTCTTTGTGACGTCATAATCTCGAAGCGCTGGACCGGCGGCGCGGGAGGCGGGCGGGAAAGCACTCGCTTTTTGCGTCACAATAAGTATTGTCCAATGTGAGGTTTTTATTGGTTTGTTGAGTGTGACGGGGGTTCCCTGCCCCGGAGAGCAGGGGTGAGACAATAAGATAGAATCTATCGCTTTAAATCCCAATCTCTGATTAAACAGAGATCATAGAGTCCTAGGGCAAGGTGGGGGGAAAAAAATCAGAAATTAATCCGTTTTCCCCAGAGAAATACCTGTTTCCGTGTTTAACTGACTAGCTTTATCTTCAGTATTAATCGCCATTCTCTTTAATCACTGTGTTGATTTAGGTAGGTGTTTAAAAGGTAAGTTCGATTTGTTTTGCCTTAATTTGGGTATTTTTTGTTATTCTCCCGTGTTTTGGTGGTTTGATATTAATCACTTCACCTTATTTTGTATTTGTTTTTGGTTACGTAAAGATGGGGTATGGCGTGTGCATTTTCTAACATGAAAAGGGATATTTAGCACGTTTGGATTTTTCTTCTATTTTTCAGACCAGTTCTAGTGAAAAGGGACATTCTTGGTATTTTTTTTCCAATTGTGTGTCGTTTTGAAGAGCTCGCGTTGCGTTTGAGCGGCGAGATCAGAAAAGGCCTGTGTAACTGTGTACAGTAGCGGTGTTTTTTAACGTGATGTCGAGCACGCTACCTGCTGGCTTTTCGTGCATTATCTTTGTTTACACACCTCGCTAAAAGACCGAAGAAAAAAAAACCGTTGATGTACACCCATCTGGGCGCGGATTAACGTGTTATTTTGTGCACTTGGCGGGGCTGTTGATTTTAACACAAAAGAAACGACGCCATAACGCGCACCGCCATGAGCCCCCGGCCGGTTTCACTATCGCTCTTTCTCGGAAGCGCGACTGAAGCAGCCCAGACAGCCGCGGTTACACCTCTCGTGTGCGGCAGCGGCCTCGGCTTTTCGCACAGGAGTTGACGGGTGCTGGCGGCCAGTGTCGTGTCCGACAGTCTTGCTGCGGGAGAAACGCTTGATTTCAGACTGTTTTTTTTTTTTTTTTGACGCGACCGACCTACTACTACTACATGCACATTGCGTCGCTGCAGGACGGCGGCTCTTAATGAAGGCCGCGCTGTACTCCTGAGAACTTAGAAAAGACCCGAGCTGACTGGTTCCCTCCTCCGCATCCGCATCCGCGTACGGACTGTCGTGCAACGGGGTGACACGATTTCGTGCCGTGGTGCCGGGCCGAACCGTGCAAATGCGATTTCGTCCCCGTTGCGCTGGAGGGCCTTCCGCCGTTTCCCAGCGAGCCTCCCACCCGGGTGTGCGGGGGATCTGACGAGCGTGGGGCAGGGGAGACGTGAAACATTGTGGAACATTTAAGAAACCACCCGGGAAGGTTCGGGTGGACTCGGGATCCAACGTGGTGGAGGAACGAAACACGCGTTTTTTAAAGTAATTCGTTGCGGGTGGTTGGTTTTGTTAGCGGTGGTGGTGTTGCGCGGAAGTGTGTCTGATGGCGCAGTTGAACGCGGCTAAGGTGTTGCTTGCAGGAAGTTGGCAGCGTTAGGCGCCGTGGAGGCGCTGGTTATTACCTGCTCGCTGGAGTTAACACGACTGTTGGCCGTGTGTTCGTGAGGGGTGCGAGCGAAACCCGACGGGACGTAGCTTATTTGGTCAATAGTGTTGGATCACGTTGTTTCACGGAGGACTAACCCTGCGGCGTCGTCCTGTATCTCTCCTCCTCTCGCCCCCGAGCTTGACGGTCTCCATGTGCCTGAACGGCATTGATGAGCCGGGCGTAAACAACTCGTTTCATTTTGCAAACGAAAGGCTGGGGTGATACATTTTTTAAGGATTGGACCCACATGCAGCTGTGTGCGGCAGCTTAATAGACGGCGCTCGATTCGGCTAAGAGAAACAAAACACAGGTTGCGCGAATTTCCACTTCCAGTTTTCTTTACCTTTTTTTTTGTACAGGTCTGGGGAAAAAAAAGCACTTTTTTGTTCAGCATTTTTGGCCTTTTTTTCTCAATTTATAACCTTATGTTGCCCCCACACCACAATTTAGTATTAAGGTTCCCTGCATAATTTATACAGCTGTCTACTTGTGTGCATTGGCCTTTACTGATCTCCAGGGCGCTATGATCTTTGTGCATCAAAAGTAAAGTATGTTTGGGAAAAGGCATAGGAAGTAGATTTGGAACTTGTGCCTGTATTTTGAAATTCTGAGGCGTCATAAAAAATAAATGATCCCCCCCCCCCCCACTCTCTGAAAGAAGTGGTGGGGAATATGGAATATTTCTTTGTTTTCTGTGAACAACAGAAGGGCATCTAAAAATGCATCGCCGTTCTTGTTCCATGGACCCTTGCATAGCTCTGATCATGACCTGCTGCACATGGAGGAGGTTGCTGTCGGCAGCAGTGACCTTTCGCAGTGATTAACTTCCGGGGCCACGCTGAATTCATGTCCCCCTCCCCCTGCTTTTCTTTCAGCACGTTTACCAAAGAAATGGTGATGGAGAAGCCAAGTCCCCTGCTTGTAGGGCGGGAGTTTGTGAGGCAGTATTACACCCTGTTAAACAAGGCACCAGATTTTCTGCACAGGTAAGGGAGAAGGAGTTCATCCCCCTCGTAGCTGCAGTCCAGTACCGGCCAAAGGGAAAGCAGATCGGTTTTGCTGTTTTGTTTTTTTTATATTCCTTCCTAGTTTCAGACTTACTGTGCAAGTACGTGTTGGGAGATTGCACATAGGTTTGAACACGCCCCCTGTGCTAATTTGCGTGGCTGCCTCGGTTTAGGGTTTGCCATGCAAAAT